TGAAAACTACAAACTGTTGCACCATTTCATCACTGGAATTCATAGCCTAACAACCACTCTCTTTGTTTTCTGTTTCATGGTGGCGGGTGGGAATGCTTTCCTCCTCTTGAAACTTGGGATGGAGTTCTTCAGTCCACTTCTTATTCTGAGGATGCAACAGCCCCCCCTGACTATGGGCTGCATGCTCAAAAGCAAAGGACTACTGTACTAAGGAGGAACTAGCACCTTAGAGACATCTGGAAGAAATTTTATTTTATTTTGTTTCGACTATGGCAGACCAACACGGCTACCTACCTGTAACTTGTACTAAGGAGGGCAAAACTCTGCGAGGGCGGGGGTGGGGAAGAGATGGGAAGTTAAAAGAGCTGTCGTGGGTACGAAGCACGGAAGAGTGTTTCCTCAAGAGAGCAGAGGAGGGCCCGGAGCTGAGGCCTAGTTCCGCCTTCCGCCTTTCGGCCTTATCAGGAGAGCCGCGCAAAGCTGACGTGTCCTTACAAGGGAAGGGCCTGGAAGGCAGCAGAGCCGCCGGTAGCGCCCCAAGGCCTACGCAACGCCTCCGCCCGCGGCTCCCCGCCCTCTCACGGCGCGCTGTGAATAACACGGGCGGGGGGTGGGGGCGCTGCCTGCCTGCCTATTCTGGGTCAGCCTCCCGGTGTCCCTCCCGCGCGAAGCCCCCGCTTCCCCTCTGCACCTTGAGGTTGGCGGACGGGCCGCTCGACGAGCCCGGCGGAGCGACGACCTCGTACTCGCCGGTGACGAGCATGTCCCGGTGGATCTCCTCGCGCAGGCATTTGCGGGCCTTGCCCGGCAGCTGGAAGGAGATGGGCCGCGCGGGGCCCGGCAGAAGGGCCAGCAGGAGGAGGGCGAGGAGGGGCGGGAGCGAGGACGGCCTCGGCGGGGAACGGCCGCCGGGGAGCGGCAACGGCAACGGCAGCAGCATGGCGCGAGCACGTCCGAGCGACACAAGGCCGGGCTTTCTGCCTCCGCCCCCCCCCTCGCGCCGCTGCCGGCTCCAGGCACGTGACCCGCTGCCGCTTACGTGACGGGAGGGAGGAGGAGGAGGAGGCCGCTGCGCGCCCAGCGAGGCAGTAGGGAGAAGCCTTAGCGGGCCCGGCCTGGAGAAGCAGGGGGAGCTATTGGCTCCGAGATACTGAGGCTTAAATTGAACCCCAGGAGCACCGTTTTCAGCGTCATTTCAGGGCTGGGGCGCGAAGAGTCAGCCTGAGGAGGGGAGCTGCCTCAGTATACGCAGTGTACCTTGTTGTTGTTTAGTCGTGTCCGACTCTTCGTGACCCCATGGACCAGAGCACGCCAGGCACTCCTATCTTCTACTGCTTCTCGCAGCTTGGTCAAACTCATGTTCGTAGCTTCAAGAACACTGTCCAACCATCTTGTCCTCTGTCGTCCCCTTCTCCTTGTGCCCTCCATCTTTCCCAACATCAGTCTTTTCCAGGGAGTCTTCTCTTCTCATGAGGTGGCCAAAGTATTGGAGTCTCAGCTTCAGGATCTGTCCTTCCAGTGAGCACTCAGGGCTGATTTCCTTAAGAATGGATACATTTGATCTTCTTGCAGTCCGTGGGACTCTCAGGAGTCTCCTCCAACACCATAATTCAAAAGCATCAATTCTTCAGCGATCAGCCTTCTTTATGGTCCAGCTCTCACTTCCATACATCACTACTGGGAAAACCATGGCTTTAACTATACGGACCTTTGTTGGCAAGGTGATGTTTCTGCTTTTTAAGATGCTGTCTAGGTTTGTCATCGCCTTTCTCCCAAGAAGCAGGCGTCTTTTAATTTCGTTACTGCTGTCACTATCTGCAGTTCTCATGGAGCCCAAGAAAGTAAAACCTCTCACTGCCTCCATTTCTTCCCCTTCTATTTGCCAGGAGGTGATGGGCCCAGTGGCCATGATCTTCGTTTTTTGATGTTGAGCTTCAGACCATATTTTGTGCTCTTCTCTTTCACCCTCATTAAAAGGTTCTTTAATTCCTCCTCACTTTCTGCCATCAAGGTTGTGTCATCTGCATATAAATGTACCTTATATGTGGCCTTTTCTTGCTACAGGATTAAGCCAAGGTTGGATGGCCATCGGCCATGGATGATTTAGCTGAGATTCCTTCCAGGGTTGGACAAGATGACACACGGGACCCCTTCCCAACTCTATGATGCTATCTATGAATGTTGCCTCTGTATTTGGGGTATATGCAGCTAGATCAAAGCTGGTAGGTGGGTGGGTGGCTGAATCTGCCTGTGTTGGTGCTGTAAGATGCTGCTCCTTACTCACTCACCTGAAATGAAGTCTTACTTAAAGCAACAGGATTACTTTCTACTGGATGGGTTTAGGATCAGCATGCCTAGTTTGTCTCTGCATACCAGCTGCTGGCAAATCAAACGTAGGACAAGTGTTGTTATTGCTGCTTATTCTTTCTTCTTCTTTGGCCATCACTTGTAGCCGAGTAAGATTGTCTTCCATAAACACGGTTTGAACAATGAGACCGTAAGTGACTGTGGAGGCCAATTCTGGATCCACACGTCCTTCCACAGTGGGGACATTGGTTTCCAGGCAGGAGTTGATCACAGTGTGAATTTGCCAAGCATGCCTTCGTCTTGGCACGTTTCTCCCTTGTGTCCTGAGTTGAGTGTCTTTTAGTACTTCTGTTAAATGGAACATTAACTAAAATACTAGGTAAGTAGCCTGGAAGCTGCATAGGCACACATTATAGTTTGTGCCACCATTGGAAAGGAAATGGCATCTGTTGAAGTCAAGGGATTGCCAGTTTGTGTTCTAGAAAAAGCAGCCCCTGTTTAACAACACCTGCCTAGTGTTGCAGACCACTAACATACACAAACCTAGCTTTTAAGAGTCCTGCCTGCCATAACAGGCAGAAGGCTGTGTGAGAAGAGGACTCCATAACACCAAGACTGAAGTCAATATGCTTGATTAACATCTTCCTTAGCAGTCTTTCTGTGAAGAGCTTGTTCCATAAAGTCGGTGCCACACACTACTGATTCTTATCCCCATCTTATGTTTTTAATGTGACATAGCATATCAGTATACTTCTTTTGCATCTAGTAGCCTCTGATTTTGCATAAGCAGTACCCACTCCTTGCACGTATGTCTTTTTTTAAAGCTAAGTTAAGCCAACATTCAGAAGAAGAAAACTATTAAGATAGTGTTGGCAAACGTATGTCTCTGTATAGCTTTTATCAATAAAGTGTGAAATTCTGCATTGACCCTGGGACGATTAATGCACAATCTAAGTGTGCAGATTATATATATGTAATAGAAAAACCAATTTCAGGCTTGTACATGGCCTTTGACCATGCATAGAACCTTTAATGTAAACAGATAACTGGGATCCATGTGCCTAAATACAAGTGCAGGCCCTGCTCATAAAACCCAGGCACACTTTTTCATGGTATAGGAATATTGTGCAAGCCCAAATTTATGTGCCCCACCATGTGTATAACCAGACACCAGGACTGCATGTGAACTGCACTTTGCACTGGTTTATTTTTTTTTTTTTAATTTTATTAGAAAAAAGTTACACGTTACATATCAAAAATCAGATACATATATACACACAGTTAAAAAGGCAAAAGAAACAAAAAGAAGAAAAAAGAAGAAGAAAACAAATTTCAAAGCTTCCTATCTTATTCCAAATTGGAATAAAAAGAAGGAGTTAAAAAGACAAAAAAAAAGAGAAGAAAAGGAAAAAGAAAGAAAAAGGAAAAGAGCAAGAAAAAGCAGACTTCCGTTCAACTTAGTATGGAGTTACATAACCATCTTATAATCTTTGCAGTAGAGTTTACAATTGTATTATACATCGAGGGTGTTAACTATCTTCTGCTGTTATATTATTAATGCCAGTATTATTCTTAACGTAAATTAAAAAATTCTTCCATTCATCTTTATGTTTCATGGTGTTATTTTGCCTTATTTTCTGAGTTAATCTCGCTAATTCTATATATTGATATAATTTCACTTGCCATTCTCCAATCGTGGGAATATCAGGAGATTTCCATTTTTGTGCAATTAGGATCCTGGCTGCAGCTGACGCATATTGGAAGAAGGTTCGATCTGGTTTTTTAATTTCCTCATCAATCATACCCAGAAGAAACAATTCAGGTTTTTTGGGGAAGTTATATTTTAAGATTTTTTTCAGTTCATCATAAATCATTCCCCAGAATTCCTTTACTGCCTCACAAGTCCACCACATGTGGAAAAAAGTCCCAATCTTATCTTTACATCTCCAGCAGCAATTATCAACGGTCTTATACATCTTTCCTAACTTTGCTGGAGTCAGGTACCAGCGGTACACCATCTTCTCTAAGTTTTCTCTGAGGGTTGCACACGCCGTGAATTTCATACCCTTCCTCCAAAGTGTTTGCCATTTACTATAATCAATATTATATCCTAGGTCTCTATCCCACTTTACCATCCCGCCCTTCACCAAGTCCTCTCTTGTATCCCATTCCAATAGTTGTTTATATAATTTAGAGAGGTGTTTATCGTTACTCTCTAGGATTTCCACCTGATATCTTGATTTTTTATCCCTCACCCCCTGTTTCTTGTGCTCACCCCACAGTGCATTAATCTGGTGAAAGAGTAGCCATTCTTTTATCTTATTTTTCAACTCATCATAAGGTTTTATCTTCCAACCCTCTTCTGTCTTTGTCAAAAGATCCTCATAGGTCCATCTTTCCTCCGTCATGTTTGGTTTTTTTAATCTGATGATGTCCACTGGGGAGAGCCACCAGGGGGTCCCTTTTTCAATCAATTTTTTGTATCTATTCCACACCGCCAAGAGTGAACCTCTAATTATATGGCTTGAAAACCCTCTATGCACCTCACCTTTCCCCTGCCACAGGTAAGCGTGCCACCCGAACCTAATGTCAAAGCCCTCCAAATCCAATAAATCAGT